TTTGAATATAAAAGTTTTGTGGCGGTAAGTATATTGATTTTATTTCTTTTGTTGATAGTTTGTCCAAGGCTAGGGGACATTACTCTGACTCTACTCAGTCTTTGCTACGAGACTTAAGATTCCCAGACCTAGACCTAGATCTAGATCTAGATTCTAGAATCTACCAACTAAGATCTACATTGCTTTAATCTAGTTCTAAGAGTGTAAGTTCATGAATTAGAATATATTAGATCTAGATTCTAGATCTAGTATTTTAGTGATCTAGATAAAATATTAAAAATATTAAGAAAAGGATGACGGTAAAAACTAAAACAACAGGAAAATGAGGATGACTTCCAGTCTCACTCAGCCTACGACTTACTTATTAATCGAATCTAGATCTAGATTCTAGATCTAGATATTAGATCTAGATATCTAGAACTTAGACAACAATGTTAATGTTAATAGACCTAGATCTAGCTAGATTACTGAACTAGACTCTAGTACTGATTACTCAGTGATTACTGTTTAATATTTTAGAAGCAGGCCTATTAGTTATTAGAAGTAGCTTGTAGATAGATGGCTAGATACTAGATAGATATTAGATAGTATTACTAGATCTAGATAGAGATAGTAGAATAGATCTAGATCTAGATTCTAGTTGCAGATGGTAGTATGGTAGGCCCTAGATCTAAAATCTAGATCTAGTAGATCTAGATAGATTCTAGATTTCTAGATCTAGATTAGATCTAGTTTAGGTAAAACCTACCCTAGTTAAGTTTAGTAAGAGCTAGTAATGCATAGTAAGGCTAACCTGTTTTTAATTTTAAATCAATTTTTTTATATCTAGAATCTAGACTAGATCTAGATCTACTCTAGCTATTTACTAGATCTAGATCAGTAGCCAGTAGAGTGATTTGAGTAGTAGTAGAGTGTAGTGTAGAGTACTGTAGACTATTGTAGAGTGTAGGTACTAATAACTAGACTGAAACTAAATTAGACTAGAATCTAGGTCTAGATACATTTAGGGCTTACAGACTTATCAGACTACAGTGTTGCAATGAGTAGATCTAGTAATATATAGATTAAATTTAGTTTGAAATTGTTACAGTAGTGCTACTACTTTTCTAAGTAGTAAGTAGTGTAGACTACTAGAAGAGCAAGATGATAGATCTCCATCAAGCTACAATAGAGTTTAGTTAGTAGTTAGTTAGCCGTAGTAATAGTACCAAAAGCAGTGTAAGTAGCACAGTAAAAAAAAGTATTACTAGGCCAACTACTATTGTAGTTTTATTTTTAGCAAGTTAAAGTTTGGTTAAGTACTAGTCTTCTAGCAAGTTGCCTAGTAGTAAACTTATAAACTAGATCATGTGTATTAGTACTATTAGACTTGTAGGCTAGTCTTGTTAGTCTAGACCAGGGACTATAAAATCTACAATTGATAACTTTCGGCCTTTTAGTATAAGCCTAATTATTAATGAATTACAGGGTACAAAAATTAATAAATTGGTCAGAGTCAGTATGGTTACAGTTAGCTGTTAATAGAATTAAGTTTTAGATCTATTGACTACAATTTTTAGTTACAAGTAATGAAAATGAAACTAATAGTTTTGTAATAGTTAAGATATGGTTAACTGTAAACCAGATATTTTAGTTTTTAAGACAAGCTAAGTAGATAGAAAACTGAACCTTTACAATAAATTAAACCTTTTATAAATATAAATATATATATATATATATATATATATATATATATATATATATATATATATATATATATATATATATATATATTAATATCTCATATTAGTTAAATAATTATTTTAATATAATATATGGATAAACTTAATAATTTATTATATTTAAATTCCCTAGGTACTTGGCAAGCAATTTTCTCACACTTTACTGTGGCTATTGGTGCTGATCTTGAACTAAAGGTGAGCTGAATTTTTTTTTTATAATAAGCCATTTTTCAGCTTAAGCCCAAGTTTGAAATCGATTCAGTGTTCTAATTCTTAAAGAATATGTTGCTACTAAGATTATATACTGTAAGTATTAATATGTATGGCTTGATAGTGGGACTGTCAGACAGTAGCTTTCACATTTCTATCCTAAAAGATAAGAGTTCAGATCCCTGGTTTTAGTCCTGGTATGATGTCCTAAGTCTCATGAGTACCAGCTCTCATGAGTACCTGGCTCAAGATAGGGAAATTAAAGGTGGCTGGGTATATACCTCTGAACACTCTAATTTTACATGCAAATGTCACAGAAACAGGTGAATTTTAATTCAACTGCTATATTGGCTGTCTGTTTTAATCAATGATTAATTTTTTCATATTACAGAAAGTTGTTAAAAGTATTATTTATTTAATTTCTAGGTAAATGGAACAGCATGGATGTGGATTTTTAGACACAAGGAAGCTGAATTTAACTTTTAATGAAGAATTTAAATGATGATTGTCCATGAAAAGAAATATTAATCATATACATTGTAATGCTGTATTGATGCATCTTCTGTTTTAAGTAATTAAAAAACCATCCATTTATGAAATTATTTTCATTTTTTTTTTCAATTTTAAAACTGTAGTTCTGTTTTGTTATTTGAAAACAATGATGAAAGTATACTGAACTGCCATTGAGATATTAATATAAATGCTATTGTTTATAGTTTAATTCTTTCAGAAGCAACTATATTGACATCAAAACAGAATCTTTATTGTACACTAAGTATAAAAGCTTACCCGCAAACCAGTCCATGTCAACAATTTATTGACATTCAAACATTAAATTTTTTTAAAGGTGATTTTTCTTAAATAAAACAGACTACTTTCATTTGGGATAAGAAACATTTAATTTTGAAATTGATTGGTTTATTAAATTTTAATGGAGCTGAAACTAAAACACTGGGTACAAATTTATAATTACTTTGTTTCTCAGAAAATTGAAAATTTTGAACATAAGAACTGTGGGAAGTAGGCAATGATGTTACAATATCTCTTGAAACTTGAATAAATTGTGGAAGGTTTAGAGATAGAAAACAACATTTCAGAAGATGATGTTTGAAATAATGGTAAAATATCTTTAGCAATTGTCACTGAATAAATGTTTTCATTAGACAAATCACATTTAGATATAGAAGAATAAGGTATGTCTTCAGATTTTCTTATCAGCGAAGATCCTGGGTGATTCTCTTTGTTACCATCGGTCAAACGACAAGTCAATTCTGGAAAATTCATTGGGTTCTTTGCCTGGGCAGCTAAATATATTTAAATTAAGTTCATGCAAGGCTTTAGAAACATCAATTGGATAAAACTCTATAATTTCATTAACTTTTTATTAATATCAGCTCCAAAGGAATAATATAAACAAGTTACACATCATCAATAAATCAAATTTGCAGATATTTCCATTTCACCAAACTTTCTCTAAGTCATAATATATATTTTAAATTCATGGCATTTTGTTAGGCTAGATATGTTGACTTTTATTTACCACAATAATCTGATTATATAAATTAGGATTACCCAGCTATCATACATTCTTCTTTTTACTGCCCTCCTTTATGAGGGGGAGGTAAAAATCATCATAAAATGTGTGATGCAATTTACAGATGAACCCTCTCTCTCTCTACCCCTCCCCTATATATATATATATATATATATATATATATATATATATATATATATATATATATATATATATATGTATATCTACATAATCTCTAAAATCATGTTGGTACCTCTACCTGTTTGAATGTTAGGCCCCTTTCCTTAAACTGTTTCTGTGTGGATCTTCTCCATGGGGGTCATCCATAAATGACGTCACGCATTTTTTTGACGATTTTTACCTCCCCCCCCCTACACATCGTCACAAAAAGCCAGACCCCCACCCCCTAAAATGACGTCACACAGTACTAGATTCTAGATCTAAATTACTACAGTTGCCTACACTCTAGATTTAGTTCTTAAGTTCTACAACAAGACTACACTAAACTTCGCTAGATCTAGAATAATCTAGATTCTATATATAAATTGATATTGAACATATTCTAGTCTACCTGTCTTAAAGTAAATAGCCTATTTAGTAATTTAGTAATTAATTCCACTTAACTACACTGTAAAATAAAAGAAACTAGATCTAGAATCTAGACTACTCTTGAGTCTATAAATTAAAAATAAATCCTGTATGTCGTATGTTACTGTCTAAGTCGGAATTTTCAAGAGGGTTTTTTTAAATCATAGATCTAGATATAGAATTCTAGATCTAGAAATCTAGACTCTAGATCTAGGCTATATATATTTATTAATTAAATTAGGCTTGATTTCAGATTTACGATTGAAATCTTTTAGGCCTATAAATATCATATTTTATATAGATTTTAGATGTATTATTATTATACAGGTGGTATTCTAGATCTATCTAGATCTATATAAAATATAATATACTTGTGTGTGTGTGTGTGTTATTTTAAACTTAATTTACTTAAAACAACTTATTGTCGGAGTTTTTTTTTATTCCAAAAACGAAAGTAGATTTCATAACTTAAAAAAATAAAATTAAAAATATTCACATTTGGTTTGAAAAAACAAAAAAACGCCAGCTGGCAACTACCGGAGCGAGAACTTGGTAAGCTACTTTAACAACTTACAAGCCCAATAATGAAGGGGGAGGGGCGCTCTTAAAATCAGGGTTAAATGGATTTAATATTGTATCAAACAATCAGTTTCTTTCAGATGTCAGAGGGCAGGGGTGTGGGTGGGTTGACGTACTATAGGGAAGAAATTGTAGCAGTCTGTGTGTGTTTCTCCCTCCCCTCCCCACTCCCCATCCCCGCCCAGACATCTGAAAGAAACTGATTGTTTGACGTGAATTTCCTAATACCCAAAGTATAATAAACGTCACATTGTCAGCGTCTGTCGCTGGTCCTAAAGCCATTCGCCATTCTCTCTCACAAATAGACACTGAATATTCAAATACCAAATCTTAAATGTTAAAAAATATAATAATTTATTATACCAACAGTAATATGTTTAAAGTAAATTTAATTTTTACCTAGTGTGTATTGAAGACTGTTTATAATATAGATAGAACAAAGTAGTCCTTTGTTTTTTATTAGTATTGAAATAAAGAAGTAGGCATTGTTTGCTAGTTTTATATATATATATATATATATATATATATATATATATATATATATATATATATATATATATAGGCCTGTATGTATCAAAGAGAAAAAAATATTTTACTGATACATCGAAGGAGGCATTGTTTGCTATTAATCCATTATCCACTGCGCTATTGGGTGTCTCCTTCAGTATCTCAGTTTTTATCAATACTATGTACGAAGCTCATTTATGGTCAACCTCAAAATCAAAAACATGTTAAAGTTAGATTTTATCACATCAATATTTGTCCATCGTTTAATAATATGTATGTTGGACAATTCGATTAAAAAACGTATTCAGATTTATTTATTTTTTAAAGCCCCTAAGTGGCACTTTAGAGGTGATAAATAAGAGTTGACAAGGAATAAAGATCACAACTTGAATCCGCTAGCTTTCATAAAGTGTGTGTACACTACATAAATGATGACAGACCAATGAACAAAGATCACAAATTGAATCTGCTAGCTTTCATAAAGTGTGTGTACACTACATAAATGATGACGCCATAACAAGCCAGCCCTATTAAGATGGCGGCGAAGTTCAGCATACAGGATCTGGTGGCACTTTTTCTGGCTCTTAAGAACTTCCGCTCCTGGTTCTCTCGCTTGGCCTAGATAAAGATACATTAAATATTCATTAACCTAATTAATCTAGTTTTAAAGCATACATTCAGAAAAACCCGCACCTATTTATTTACTTTTATTTATTTTACAGCTGCATGAACTGCTTGTTTTAAAAATAAAAAAAATAAAAACACCAATTAAATTAATTAGCGGGAAGCCATTATAAACAATGAACAGTAATAAATTAATTTTTATCAAACTTTGTTTTTTATACACTTTAAAGTAACTGATTTCCGGCTTACTATTTATAATTGATTTTTTGAAATATTTTAAAGGATTTTAAAGTTAGGTTCAAAGTTTAAAAACAAATTTAAACACGATGAACTTATATCCAAACCAAATTGTGCGATGCACGGCACTAGTGAATGAAACAAAAGTCTAGTGGAAACCCTATGGTCTTATCGTCTGTCTGGTAACCTGGGTGACAGAAATGCTCCATACACACATAAAAAACATTGCTAATAAGCACACAGGCGTAGCGAGGGGGGGGGGTGCAAAACGAAAGTTTGAGGGGGGACGCAAATCGAAAGTTTGAAAGTTTGTCCCCGGGAAGGGTCACTACGCCTCTGGGGGGTGACACCATTAAGTGCCGCACCGGGTGACACCCGACCTCGCTACGCCACTGTGCATAACATATACTTAGCCATTGTGCATAAAATGTAGAGATTCGATTTCGATGTATACATTACTTGCTGAATTAAAGTATGAACCTTAAATGCATTTTTAAATCGGTCGTGTACTTTAATGTACGTAAACAAGCAAGGCTATCGTCCCAACGACACCTCTCGCCTAAAACATGTGTTAACATAAACATATACATTTCTACTCCCCCCTCCCCAAACATAGTCCTCGCTTTTACTTTGTTTAACAGTTTCGTTTATTTCACCATCTAAACACGGAAACTTACCGCCACACCATAGTACGGACCCGCAGTTTTTATCACCATCTAAACACCGAAACTTAGTTTATATTAACATCTAAACACCGAAACTTAGTTTATATCCCCATTTAAACACGGAAACTTACCGCCACAGCGTAGTAAAGACCCGCAGTTTATATCACCGTCTAAACACCGAAACTTAGTTGATATCACCAACTAAACACCGAAACTTAATTTATATCACCAAATAAACACCGAAACTTAGTTTATATCACCAACTAAACACCGAAACTTACACAGCAATGTGCGGACCCAAAGTTATAAACGCCATCTAAACACCGAAACTTACCGTCACAGCATAGTACAGACCCGCAGCGCCCAGCAGAAAACAGCAACATACAATTGTAAAAATACTGCAAGGGACGTAATTAGGGATAGGCACAGTCTCCCTCTTATCCTGAAAAAAAAAAGATTGTTCCTAAATGAATCATTGTATAACCTTAAACATTATAAAATTTTAATAATTGTACCACATTGCTTTAAAAAAAGTAACATACTTTGGATTATCTTCTAAACGAATGTATGTTTCACTTTTAAATCTACAGATCCATTGGGCTGGTGAAGTGGAGTTTACATGCTTCTTGACTGGAATCTAGTGGTGAACACTACGCCAAGCCGCCTTTACTTTCCCCAATGTAAGTAAGGTACCCATCAAAGCTGGGTGGACTCAGGGACGCCCTAAAGTCACAAGTCTGAACCGAGATCGGATCATCGGGCAAGCAGCTCTACCATTCGACCACGCCGTCCCTTAAACATTTGTACTTTATTCTAATTTAACAACGAATTGTAAAGCATATTCTTAAATAAAGGGGCTATTCTTGTATTGATAATTCACATTGCTTTATTAAATTTACTCATTAGCATTTAAATCTAATTTATACAAAAAATGTATATTTCACACACACACCGACACACACCTATAACAAGCATGTATGTGTGTGCCTGCGTAGGGTGTGGTGTGATGTGGTGTGTTGCGGTGGGGTGTGGTGTAATAAGGTGCTGTACAGTGCGGTGCAATGCGGTGCAATACGTGGTATTTACCTGATATACCGCTGCCCCTGCTGGGGGTTGCCCATCAAAACCGGGTTGTACCAGCTGCAAATCGGGCTGGCCAGTGTTCACAGACCACACGTCGTAACCGGCCTGGTATCCATGGTTGTAGTTACCATGGTAACCAGATTTAGCGCCATCCTCAGGCATTACGCCGATCTGATCCATTGTGTTGGGGTATGCGTGTTGATAACCTGGGTCCATGTTGAACTGAATACTGGGATATGTGTGTTGATTACTTGGGTCTGGGTTGAATTGACCGCTGGAATATGTGTGTTGATTACTTGGGTCTGGGTTGAATTGACCGCTAGAATATGTGTGTTGATTACTTGGGTCTGTGTTGATTTGACCGCTGGAATATGTGTGTTGATTACTTGGGTCTGGGTTGAATTGACCGCTAGAATATGTGTGTTGATTACATGGGTCTGTGTTGATTTGACCGCTGGAATATGTGTGTTGATTACTTGGGTCTGGGTTGAATTGACCGCTGGAATATGTGTGTTGATTACTTGGGTCTGGGTTGAATTGACCGCTGGGATATGTGTGTTGATTACTTGGGTCTGTGTTGAATTGACCGCTAGAATATGTGTGTTGATTACATGGGTCTGTGTTGATTTGACCGCTGGAATATGTGTGTTGATTACATGGGTCTGTGTTGAACTGAAAGCTAGGTTGTGTAGGGTGTTGATAGTTCGCTGTGTCCATTGGCATGCCAAGTTCAGTGCCCGCCATTCTATCGTGTAATGAGTAACTATGTAGATCTATTGCAAATTACTTGTGGCTTGTTACAAGGTCGGGTGTATTCGAGGCTGGTCGACAGCAAGCCGTTATACTGGTCAGCAGACTCAGGGAGACAAAGGCAAACTGTGGATCATATAGTCAAGTAAGGAATAATTTAGAACCAGGCGGTCAGTGAAGTATAGTTCGCATGTTACTGGGACCTCAGCATACAAAGAGATAGTGTGATCAGTACTAGTGTGGACAGCAGTTTGGTATTCATTAATGTAAGTCGGGTACTCATTAGAGCTGGGTGAACTCCGGGAGGCGTAACAGACTCAAGGACGAGAAAATAACTCAAGACTGGTGGGTTGTCAGTTTTGCGCACTATTATCCGACCAGACAAATTACAAGTTGATAAAACAAACAAGTGTTTACTATGTGTAAACTTTTTTACTGTTGAAAAGGGACAGCGTGGTCGAATGGTAGAGATTTTGGCTACTAACCCGAAGGTCTCCAGTTCAGATCTCGGTTCAGACTTGTAACTGACGGACCTGCTTGAGTCGACCCAGCTCTGATGGGTACTTGACTTAGGTTGGAGGAAATAAAGGCAGATGGGCATAATGCGGACCACACATTCCCTTCATATGCCGAGGTCGAAAAACATATAAACTCTACTTCATCTTTTCAATGTATCGCTAGGTCTAAAGAGGAATCTTTACTATTGATTTTAAAAAACTATTTCAACAATGTCAATTAACAATCTCAACCTACCTGAATATTTCACCACAACCTCCCCTGTGTTGACGTCCTTGCTCTACAGGTAACACTAGCACAGCGGAGACTCACCTGTCTGGCTACTTCTGAAGTCAACAACACCTACGCTCGGTAAACTCCTTACACACTGTAACACAAAGCCGGTTGTTGACAATCCCTCTTTCTAAATACCACATTATACGTCCTTGAGTTATTATTACAATGAATGTAAAACATATTTTTGTAGATCTAGGTAAGCAAGTTAATATGCCTAGTGAAAACAGTTAATTTATTGTATGGTTTAAAAGGGGTATACGTCTTTAATCATTTTAAATTTTATTTCTTGGTTTTTGTTTCATATTGGTTTTTTTTTTTTAATTTGTTTTTTTTTTTGGCTTAATTAGTGTTCTGCTCTGAATACAAATATGTTATTATTTAAAATATTTTATACATACTTCGCTTATTAAACTACAGTTGAGCCTATTACACTTCAGACTTTTGTAAATGATGTTGCTATTATTAATAAAGTTAGTAATATAAATAGATGGAGTTTGCTATTGTTTATTTACGTAAGTCGAACTTTATTGTTAAATTTGTATGTCACCGAAAACAAAATTGGCAAAGTTGGAAACTAATATGCTAAATATTCCATATATTTAACTTCATCCGTATGTAAACAATACTTGTAAAGTTTCCAAAACTGACGGTCTATGGGGCAAGTGAAGTAGAGTTTCTGTGACCTTGGCATATGAATGGATAGTGTGGTC